TATCCGCCCTCTGAAGCTTTTAGGGCCGACAGGGGGAGGAGAATACAACGCTGTGTGTATTTATCGCTAAGCTAGCGGCTAAGCTAGCGGCTAAGCTAGCTGGACGCTACGGTTCAGGTATCCGTCCTCTGAGGCATTTATGGCGGACAGGTTGAGGAGGATGTCCCGCTCGTGTGTGTGTGTGTGTGTGTGTGTGTGTGTGTGTTTATCAAAAACGTTGACTTTCATTAAATGCATTATGTCACCAAATGTCACATTAGTGTATTAGGTTAGTTGAAAGCGATAATATTAAGTTGAAGTATTTCTAGTTCTAGTATTTTTTTATTCAAACTTAATATTATTGCTTTCAACTAACCCACAACTGTTATGTGAAATCTGTTGACATAATTATTTTATGTCAGCGTTTCAGTTTCTTTATTGTGAGTGTGTGTGCTGTCCTGCCTGCTGCCCTCCTGCTGTCTCTGTGTTATTTCTTTTCAACACATTACCCACAATCCTCTCCGTTCCTCCTCTCTGTTTTCGTGTGGATGGTGTCTTGTTATGTTTTTCTTCTAATTTATGTCTTGTAGTGATACGTCACTCTGGTACTCGTACTGTATCTAACCCTCGCCTTGTTTCACACAACCTCTAAAACTAAACACACCTCCATCACTTGGCATATTTCTCAACTGCGTCTCAACCTCAGAATGGAAGTTGAAAGATGCTTGAATTATGTATTGGAATGAAACTGATATTGCCTGCACAAACAAAGTGTGTGTATACACATTTTAGTTCCTTTGAAAAGAGCCTCTCTTACACACACACACACACACACACACACACACACACACACACACACACACACACACACACACACACACACACACACACACACACACACCGCATCGTGTAGCAGAGAAAAGGCCCGCAGAATGTGCTGTAAGCCTTTGCAGCTCTCCTGTGCTTGTTACTCAGGTCAGGCCCCAGCGACTCTGATCTTTAAATGATAAAGACGTGGCCTCAGTGCAAGGGCGTGGAAGAGAGCTGACACTTGTCCAATGAGATATCGACATCCATTGATTACCTGTAATTGCAAAGTAATGAAATCTGGAAAAGCCTTTGGAAGCTTAAGACTTGTCAGATAACAAAGATGGTTGGAGGGAATGATTAGTTTAATCTTATATCTATTGAACATGTTTTAAAATAATTCATCTTCATTTATCTTAAAAGCATGAGAGAAGATATTATTTTCCTAAAGTAGTTGTAAAGCAACCATTCTCCTCCTTCCTCATAATGCTATACTAAATAAACGTATTTTTATTATTATTATTATAAACTAAATATAAATTGCTTTAATTGGATTACTGCAGTTGAGATACTTGTAATTTATGTTAAAGCCAATGTTTTTAGCCAATTTAATCTTGTTTCACCTGTTTTGGTCTTGTACACCAGCCATAATTGAAAAACAGGAATTCACTGAACAGTATCTTAAAGATAATTGAAATACTAATGTAATGCTGATGATACTGGCTTGCCCAGGTCAGAATGGTTCGATAACCTCTATAATAGTTTTTTTGTATCAACGTTCTTAATGATATTCTTATTCCTATATTCCTAATTTGCAAATGCTGTTCAGTTTAAATCATAATCTTTTTAAATACCAAATGTAAGATATATTCATTCACCATCAAAAATGTTTTTATCTTGCATTATAGTATTGGCCTAACAAAAATCCAGTGCCAGTCAGGCTATATGTCATTTTACATGTTTTGAGGAAGTTTAGATTATCTTATTCTACCTACACCTAAATCATAATTGCATTAAAATAATACAAATAAATCAAAGCATTGACTCTTTTCCAGACAGAGGCCTCGGGTTGTACCAGGGGTCAAGCACTCACTCGGTTCACTTCTTATCTACCTCCACACACACTCACTTATAGAGAAATGTGTCCACAGTAGCAGAGCTCCACTGGTTCTGTCGTGAACATCCATTGAACTGGTTCTGTTCTTCATCCATCTTTGGTTTTGTTTCTTGGTGGTTAGTGCTTTCTAGTCGTTTGCCATTTATTTTTATTCTTCAATTTCCTTTGATGCGATTGGAGAATGTGTGTTAGGCTAGTGGTTGAGTTCAGGGATATGTGGGGAAAATGAGGAGACTGTTTGAGCCACAGTGTTTTAAAAGCTCCACTAACTGATATGTTGTGTTGATCAGAGTTGGTGTGCATGCCTGTTGCCTGCACCTGTGTGAGAGTGTGTGTGGTTTGAAGGTGAGTGACTATCCTGTGGCTTCCCCCAGGCCTCACGGAGAGAATTCAGGGCTCACCTGGATGAGGTCATCACGCTCAAGTCAAGGTACTCTACCTTGGACCAGGTAAACCCGCTAACCTTCTACCAACCTCTTATCTACCGGCATGCAGGCCACTGGCATCCCACAATGCACCTCACACACCAACACACATGTACACAGGCAGGGAGAGGCACATCAAACATGTTAGACTAGATCACACTGGGCCACCCCTAGCTACAGCAAACCTGCTTTTAGTGCCTTTGCTGATACTCCAAAACAACAAAGACCTAAACAAAGTATAGTAGTAGAGTACTGGTTAAGATCCAGAAAAGTGTCACAGGGTCAAAAATCAAAACATGGTGATATTGACGAAGTAGACCCCATTTACAGGTGGTAATAACATGAGATTTGTGACTGGATATCTTATATCCATACATGAACACACTCTCTTTTTACTATCTATTTTTAATTAGTTTACATTGGAATTGTGTGCTTGTGCTTTATTTTGAGTGCTCCTCTTACTGGTTTAAGGTGGGCAGTGCACAGCTTGAAAAGATGTACTCCAATCCATAAAGATTTAGCAACATCTGAATAGAAACGGGATGTCAGTTCTGTGTTGTTTACCTTATAAATAATTTGTTCACTTACAGTTTGATCAAGACTTATCTTATCAAGTCAAGAAAAATATCTACTTAATAATGAAAGCTTTTAGAGGTTTTATTGGCTCACTTGAGATAACAAGAATGTATATTGATACCATTATCTCAATGCAGGCGATAGTGAGCTGATGTTGATGCCAGGTAAATGGGGTCTGTGATTCTGCAAAAACAAACAAAATACATTTTAGTCTTTCCCATTAAACTGATGAATACAGGGGGAGGTGTGTGGGTCATTCAGGACAGATTTCCAAGTAGTGCGGTGATACACATGGCACTAGTATAAATACAGCACTTGAGTTGGACAGTGTTGCCCCTCATTGTTGCTCAGTAAGTTGCCCTGTGTATCACCACCTTTAGAAGTCAGCACATTCCTCCCCATTGCCTCTCAGGATCTCCACCAGCACTCATTCTCTCTCATTCATCCCCCATCTGGTCATTTCATGGTATGTGTGTGTCTGTGGCTGGTGATATTGTAGTATGTTGAGTGTGTGAGCTTGTCTGTGTGAATGTACCTGGTTGGAATTTGAGTGCTAAAGTGTGAGTGTGAATTAACGGATGATGAAGAGATTGGGGAAGCCCATGAGAAGTGATGGGAGTCAGTGGAGAGAGCAGAGGCCTTCAGTGGTGTCTCCCCCTCCGGCTCTTCCCCCCCCCCTAGAGAGGAAGACTTTGCTCTGGATTTCCACAGTAGCATTTTGTCCTGCCCTCTACCGCTCTGCCGCTATCACTCCAGCATTTTGTCCTCTGCTCTCTCCCTCTCTTGCCACGTCCCGCGGGGGGAGGCGGTTGAATCTGGTCCAAACGAGCCTCCCTCGCCCTGTCACAACCTTCTCTCCCTCACGGCAGATGGATAAATCTTCCCCTTTTTTTGCATAATTTCTCTGACAGCTGCTTTGTTTTTGCGCTGAGCTCAGCACCGCAGCGGTTGCATCCCATCATTTCCTCCAGCTGGTTATTGGCCCCATCGATTTCCCCCGGGGCGGCCCTCGGCCCCCGGAGCCACGTGTCTCTCTGACCTGGCCACGCTCGCTGTTCTCCGTCCGTAAGACACCGCCGCATCACACATCTTGATCTTGGCAGATCTCCATGACAACCCGTCGTCAGGCTGTTTCCGTGGCGACAACAGGGTTGGCGTGATTAGTGTTTCTGGCAAGAGGGTCCAGTTTTTTTTTATTTGTGTGTGTCTGCATTCTGAGCTCACTATAATTAAGATGAATAAAGCCCAAATCCTCACACACACACACACACACACACACACACACANTGGCGACAACAGGGTTGGCGTGATTAGTGTTTCTGGCAAGAGGGTCCAGTTTTTTTTAATTTGTGTGTGTCTGCATTCTGAGCTCACTGTAATTAAGATGAATAAAGCCCAAATCCTCACACACACACACACACACACACACACACACACACACACACACACACACACACACACACACACACACACACACACACACACACACACACACACACACACACACACACACACACACACAACAATGGCTCTCTATGACTTTATTTCACCTTGCTTACAGAGGGACTTTCTAATCTGTGCTCCTTGTGTTAGTGTGTATGAAGTGTGTGTGAATGTGTGTGTGTTTCCATTTGCATCCCTCATTTGAACTCATTCTCTTCTCACTCGGTCAGTCTCTCACCAGTAAGGGGGGATTGCAGTGGAGGGTAGATTAGAAATGAGTGTGAGATTGTTTGAAAGTCTGCTTTTTTGCCTTCCCCCTCCCTTTATGTCCAAAAACCACCCCATTCTGCTACTGCACTCATTCTCCACAAACTCTCCTCCCTTCCAAACACACACTCCTGTAGCTTTTTCCACTGTGTTCATCTCCATATGCAAACTGTCTCCCCCCCCCCATCACTCTCTGATGGTATGATCTTTTCTTCGTAGTTTTGTATGTTTTTTTGCCATAATGAGGTCTTGTTTTCCACCGTGTCAGTCTTAGTGTCATCACTCCACCTTGCATCAAGGCTTGTAGCTGTTTTTTGGTTAGCGTTGACTGTATATGAACTGCATTAGCTGCAGGACATATTCATGTAATTACTATAGAGGCATATGTGAAACAGGATTAGGAAGTAGAAACGTGTGATACTTGTGGTTTGTCTGTGTTTAAAGAAACGAGCTAAGTAGTGAGCTTCTGATGTAACTGTTCTGCGTTAATCGTGTCTTCATTTAAAAAAATGTGGTTGTCTTTTGCAGTTTTTTTTTTTATAAGAAAGGCACATTTTGTACGAAAATGTCCCAGCTGTCGAACGTTAGAATTCATATGTGCTTTTCAATGTCTGCAAGTTTGATCTGTGTCTTGCTGTAGCTGTATTTAGCTCCCTTAATCCCCACCTTTGTCCTTTTTCTGTCTCTTTTTTTCAACATACCTCTCTCTCTCTTTAAATGAGGGCTCTGCAGTTGTGCAACAAATCTCCTAGCAACCACAGCTGGTGCCATCATGGTGGTCCCCTAAATAGGCTGTTTACAAACAAATAAGCTTCAATAACAGATAGCGGATGTAGAAGAAAATATAATGTCAAACAAATGTACTTTTTTCCTGCCCAAGTGTGCTTCATTTGGGTTAAGAACGTTTTTATTTAGGTTAACTGTGAGAAGTACATTATGTTTTACTGTGACACAGTAAACTGTCATGTCTTTAGTTATGTAGTGTTAGACTTTCTCTCCAACACAACCCCCTCCCCCTGCCTGAATGACATTGGACTCTGACATAGTGACATCACGATAAACGTTAACACGATAGGCTATGTGGCGGGACATCTCTAAGCTTTTGACCAATCACAACAGAGCCAGCCAACTAACCAATCAGAGCAGACTAGGGTGAAAAAAATCTCACAGTATGAGAAAAATAAAGATGTTTTTGAACATTAATGCATGTAACCATGTCCCAGTAGAGGACAAAATACGAACCTGAAAATGAGCATAACAGGGCCCCTTTAATTCTCTACCATGATTGGTGTTCTCTTCCAATCCAACATGACACTAGAGTCAGTTATTACAAAAATAACACAGAAGTTATCGTCTTAAACAGTTGTATAATTCAAAATATTTTTTTACAAATGCTCCCAGGGCCTCCAATATGGCTGTCACTGGGTGCCATATGCCAGCCGAGAGCCCACTGCGCTTTCTTTATCAGTTTCTCTCTCTTACTATCTCTTTCCCTGCTGCTCCCTTCTCCTGCTAGGGTTCCCTGTCGTAGCGGATGTCTGTCTGTCTGTCTGTCTCTCTGTCTGTCTGTCTGTCTGTCTGTCTGTCTGTCTGTCTGTCTGTCTGTCTGTCTGTCTGTCTGTCTGTGGTGTTGTGGTTTGCTGGGACAGATGCACTGATGCCTGTGATTCGATGCTTTATCTCCACTAGCTCCAGTGTAGGTTGGAGGGGCTTAAAGATGATCGCAGGAGGACCTTCAGCTCTCGAGTAACTATCCCGCCCCCCCTCCCCTCCTTGCCTTTCCCTCACCCTCCTCCGAGGAGCGCGCAAAAACAAACGCCCGCTCTCTGTGGTCCCCGCCCCCCGCCCTTTCTCCCTCCTCGCTTGCCTAGCTATCCCCCTTTCTCCCCTCCTCGCTCTCCTAGCCCTCGCTCTCTCTCTCTCTCTCTCTCTCTCTCTCTCTCTTTGTATATATCTTTCTATCTGTCTGTTGCCACATGTCTCTTTCTCGTCCTCTATCTGTCTGTCGTTCACTGTTTCTCTGTCCGGTCTGTTAGGAGTCCTCCTCTTTCCGTCTCCCACACACACTTTCCTGTCTCTTCTTGTTTCTCTGTCCGTCTCCCCTTCTCTCCCCCCATCTGTCTCTGTCTCTCCGGTTAACATGCTCTGCTTTCAGTAGCTATGTCTGGTGTGCTGGATGTCTGTTCAGTAGATGCCATCAGGCCGCTCGAGTGGTCTTTATTGTTTTTGTTCTTTTCCCTCCTGTGTTCCCTCCTTTCTGCTGTGTCTCGGCTCTGTAGTTTACTGAAGTCTGTCTAGTTCGTGCTTCCTGTTTTTATTTGTTTTCTTTTCCTTCCGGGCTGTGGGACCACGTCATGCTGATCCTCATCCTTCCACCCTCTGTCTCTCTCTCTCTCTCTGTTGTTGTCTTTCTTTCTCTCTGTCTCTCCATCCCTCCTCTTCCTCCACCATCCCACCCACCTTGCCTCATCTCCCATCTCCCACCCTCTCACTTCGGCTGTTTGGTGCCCAGTGGTGTCACAATGTTAGCTTAGTTAGTATGGCGGTGAGGGAGGGGAGGAGGAAGAAAGGGGTTTATGGCTGGGTGGGTGGGGTAGAGAGAACTTCACCTTCACCATGGGTGTTTTGGTTCTCCATACACCGCACACCACCCACACCCAATGTGTGTGTTTCTGTGATGCAATAGTTAAAGACATGTGAGGGCAGACAGAAGTACAATAAGTTATGTTAATACAAAACCTCTGATAAAGGTACTCCGGGCATTTAGCATTCAAGAAGAAAAATGGAGTGCTAAAAAATCCCCTAAATCAAAATCGTCCCGCTCACAATTGGGAAAAAAATAAATGTAAATGTAAATATCCGCCATGATTTTCTACAGACTTTTAAAATGACGGCGTCAGAATTGATTGCTTTTTTTTACTATTTGGTGTTCAATAAATCGTTTTATTCTGTGCCAATCTTAATGGTAACTTGCAACTTGTGATTCTCCTTCACTAAAGCTGAGCTTCCCAACAGCATGCACTGTAACTCAGGATCTGCTTTTAAGGAATTGTATATGGTTCAAGGTTCAAGGTTCTTTATTGTCAAACTAACATAGCTACAGAGCAATTATGTCGTTGAAAATGTTGGGTCACCGGCTTCTCCAACCCGGCAACACAATAATACAGATAAGCAGACAATATTAAAGTATATTATATTAAAAGTAATACAAAAAAGAAAAATTGTTTTAAAAAAAGTGAGAACAAAAATAAAAAGTGGAATAGTGCGATATGGTAGTTTTAATAATGCTGTGTAGCATCTGTGATCAGCCCTATGTTTTCTATATGTACTATTGATACACATCATTATATAGCACATACATCACTTTTTTGTCACTACTTAACTACCTTCAATATGAATATTAATAAGAGATTGAGAGCAAAATTGTTTTTGTTTTTTTATCTTGGCTACAAAACCAACATAGAAAATAAATATACTTTGAATACCAATATCCTCTTTTTATTTTGTATTTAACTTTTATTTCAGTTTTAGTTTCATTATACATATTCACACTTGTGTTAAAAGTTTTTGTTTTTTTCAAATAGCTGTATCTACAAAGCCAATACATAAAAAGAAAACATGAAAGAAAATATTACAAACGGTAATAAATAAGTGGAAAAGTATCCCAAAACCGTAACCAATATCTTTTTTATGAGCGGAGGAAACAGTTTCTGATGAATATAATCTTCATTTAGAGATTTGCTAACATCAGATAAAGGCTATTTATTGTCATCCCATGGGTTACTTTTGTGGTATTGTTTTAATTGATGTGGCTAAGACATATAAGTTATAAACATTACCGACAACACATTAAAGTTAGTAATCTTCGAGATGCCTTTGGGAAGCTCAGCCCAGTTCTCGCCCCTCACTCTCCTCTCCACCTTGCTATAGATTACAGGAGGTAAAGCAGTAGTGCAGCTGTCAGGCCGCATCAGCGATCTCAGGAGAAACCGTCCTGCACCGCATCTGAACAGCCACTATCCAAACTCAACACTACATCTCCACCACATTTGATGTCACACCGTAGCACAGTTAAACATCTGTTATGACCTTGTGTGATACGATATTGTCACTCTGTATGTTGTTGCCTTTGTCCGTATATGCCTTTTCTAATCTAATAGTGATATGAAATGTCAGTGCATTTATCAGTGTGAATATCACCTGTGATGTAGTGTACAGTAAGTGATAATAATTGTAATGCAGGAGATGCAGTCATCTCCCAACAACAGCAGGACAAAGTGCACAGTGTAGTGTGACACATGCTTCTGACTGTTGTATAAACAGCTTCTCATCTCAAGCATGTCAAACGTGCGGCCCGGTTTATCTTAAATTACCACTACCTCTGCTTTCTCTCTTTCCTTTTGCCCTTTGTCTCTTTCCAAATCACCCTCTCCATCTTTAGGTGCAGTCACGATGCAGCAGCAAAGAAAATATCCTAAGATCAAGTGAGTTCTAAGTTGCTAAATGCTAAACCACTCCTGTGTGTTCTCTTGTATGTCACAATGTGTGCTCTCAAACAAGCATACATAGATTTAAAATGGATGTGATAATGCGAGCATGGTTTTTGTGTGTGTGTGTGTGTGTGTGTGTGTGTGTGTGTGTGTGTGTGTGTGTGTGTGTGTGTGTGTGTGTGTGTGTGTGTGTGTGTGTGTGTGTGTGTGTGTGTGTGTGTGTGTGTGTGTGTGTGTGTGTCGTCGTCGTCGTCGTCGTCGTCGTCGTCGTCGTCGTCGTCGTCGTCGTCGTCGTCGTCGTACGTCGTCGTACGTCGTCGTACGTACGTACGTACGTACGTAGTAGTACGTACGTACGTACGTAGTAGTACGTACGTACG